GAAACATGTTTCCCACACCTTATGCTTTGTATTTCTACTTTGTAAAGGGTCAATATTCTAGTCTTCAAGTAATAGCAATGCCCATATTTTCGTAAAATATTGGCCAAGTGGTCATCTGAATGAGGGCTATTTTACAATCTAACATGACCTGAACATTTTTCTGAAGATGGACAGGATTGTTTGATTGACAGTCAAACAAGGAAAAACAGGTTTTTAAGTAGAAAGTCTGCTCTAGGAAAGCTATTCTTCTCTGAATATGGGGAAGTGGTAGGAAACCTTGTCATAATCCTTGGTTTCAAGATAAGAGAAAATCATATGAGGGCTTGTGGTTTTTTTTTTTAACGTAACACTGTTACATAAAGCATACAGACTAAATCTCACTGTACGTATGAGAGGATTAAAAAAGGTAAAAACTGACAAATACAGTTGGTATATTAGGCTTTATATTAAGGCTGTTAATACCGTGCATTCCTGGTTTTTAGGTGTTATCATATGAAAATTCTACGTTTATGAATGTTACTGAAACTACATGCTCCTCTGTTCATCAAAAGGAATGCAGTCCAAATTCAGCCCAACTTTTAAAATCTGTCTTCGTGAAAAATGTTGGTTGGGCTTCTCAGGTGAGTAACAAATAATGATAAAGTAGGAAATGCCATTCTTTTTTCCTATTAAACTTGAGATATATAATTTTTAAATCATTAACTTTATGCATTGCTTACACATGAGGTTTAAAGTTGTGCTCCATTACAGTCTAAGTAATCGGAAAGTTGATAGGTGGACAGATCCTCCCAAATAGGGGAGTGAGATAACACCATGGTGAACTATATACATAAAATAAACCAAAATAACTGTTCAGTTATTCAGTTCTCTTTATTGCAAATTTACTGTAACTACTATTGCCTATGCAGTTCCTTCATTTAAATTTGAATCTAGTAAAAATTAGGGGTGCTGGGACAGAATATTTTTAACAGGACTACCCCAATTTTGTGCAAAAAGACTAAATCTGCCTGATAGGAAAATCTGTTTCCTTATAAAAATCATTTTTCTTATCTTTCCTGTGGTACAGGTTTAAGTTCAGGAAATAATAGCTCTCTGCAATCTAGAAAAAATAAGCTTTTTGTCCTAGCAGAAGAACAAACTACGGTTTATGAAGCTATATATAAACTTTAAAATGCATGTAGCTGTGAACTGCCACAAAGCAATTCTTCTGTTTTATGTTCAGTTCTATTTATAATTTTTATAGGAGCTGTTAAGTTAAAGGTACCTCTGTATTTAATTCCTTTGAAAAAGATAACTGAAAGTGGGTATTTGAGACCTTGGAAAGTTCAATTCTTGAGAGTACTGCTTACTTGAGAATTGTACATGTACAATTCTGAATCACTGAATGACTGAGCTAGACACCTAAGTCACTTCAGCAATTCTGAAAAAGCTCAGCTTCAGTTCTTAGAACAATTCCAGGTGTGTCATGTTGTATTTTAAATCCTCAAACTACAATGCAACTTCTCTTTTTAGCTGACCAGTGGAGCAGTATGGGTTCAGTTTAATGATGGATCCCAACTGGTAGCACAAGCAGGTGTTTCTTCTATCACATACACATCTCCAGATGGCCAGACAACCAGGTGAGCCTATTACTACTATAAGAAATAACTCACTCTCTTTCAACACAAAATGCTTAAGCCTATGGTAAACATCATAGATGACTTTTTTTTAAAGCTATTAAAGCATAACTTTTTTCTAACTTCTTAGCTGGTTAGCTTGTGTAGACTTAATGAATAAACAGAGAAAATTACCTAGAGCTCTGACTGAACTTTGGCTAACAAATGAATAGAAAAAAATCACTGTGAGTGGATCTACTGCTTGGTAGCTAGGGTATAGCTATTGTTTATGTATAGTATTTAAAAGAGGGAGGGGTTATGAATTAAGGTTTTAATACTTAAAAACACCTTTTTTTTAAGGTATTGCAGGTTTTGGGGGAATGTGCTAGCAGATAGCATGACAACCGATGCATAGAGCGGGAGATCCTGGGTCAGGTTTTGGATGCCTTTTGGAAACTGGGCATTTCTCTGATTTGTAACATGCTTCTGGGTGCCAAGCTCAAGATAGTAATATACAGTCTGTTCAGACTTAAACATTTTTTAGATTAAATTTTCTTAATCTGAAATACTTTTTCAGTTGAATATATGTAGGAAAAGGGACCTGAACTTTAAGCCCTCAAGCTCCAATTAATATGCCTAGATATATTTACATCTACTTGATGTAGTGATTTGCCTATTTACAGCCAAGTTTTGAAAAAATTATACTGCCTTGAAGTCAGATCACTTTTAAAAGCATCTAAATTCTGTGTTCTTACTTGCCTTTCTAGGTATGGAGAAAATGATAAGTTGCCAGAATACATCAAAGAGAAGTTGCACTGTCTATCGTCTATTCTTGTGATGTTTACCAATCCAGCTGGTTCCCATTAATTAAAGCAAAGCAGGTTTTTGGACATGACAGCTTAATAAACTCACTCACTGGCATTCAAGTAAAGTGACTGATTTCACTCAGACTATCCAGAAATTCTTCTCAAAGCCGTTAAAAATTAGGAAGGGAAGGGTTGCTTTGTTTATGTATTGCAATGCGCTGGAAAAGCATCTTACAATGCGTATTTTTCCTCAATGATGGATAAACTTGCTCAAGTAAGATTTTGAGCAACTAAGTTCTACATAACTTCAACTTTTTGGAAATTATCTAAGTCAATATTGTGTGTGTTTGGTTTTTCCTCCCCCCCCCCCCACTGTTCTTCACTCAGTGCCAACAATCAAGGAGAATGCATCTGTGCTGTTGAAGTGTTTGTACTTGTAAATAACTTGTATTTTTACGTCTTACAAGTAATATATGTAAATATGTATATGTTTTATAGCTGTTTTTATGTTTTTATTTTTGTAGCAGCAGCTTTTAACTTCCCTGCACAAGCATTTATATATATATATATAAAAAAATAAATGCAGTGGTAATTGTCCAGATCTATTGGTTCATTTCATGTTCAAATGATGGTTTACTGAGAGCCTTATTCCTTAAGTATAAAAGTTCAACTATAATAGAGCTGAGCTGATAGCATTAAGCATCTTGCCTTGGGATTTCAAGGATGGGTGAAGTTTGGGGATAAAAAGTATAGAACTGTTGCATAAACTTGCTTCTAGTTTCCTGACTTCCTGAGAAGATGAACTGAAAAACTGTACATTGCTTTGTGTATTTTATAATTCTCTAGGTGATAGCTGACTAAAATGTTAAAGCAATTGATGGGAAAAAAGGCACAATAAACAAGGAGCTGCAAAACCCTGATGAAAGAGATGCTCTGCTCTCTCACATGCAGGCTCAGCTTTAATCAGAGCTGAATTAGTGTGGTGTGTGGGTGGTTTGTTTTTTCTTTGTTTTTTTTTTTTTTAAAGCAGTCCTTTTTATTCACCTATATGAATTGATAAAGATTTGATGATTTTATCACTTCCAAATCAAGGAAATAGAGAATATAGTACAAATAAAGAATCTGGAATTAAGAACTGCAGAAAAGGTAGGGGAGAAAGGGAGAAGAATGGGTGACAAGAGTAGTTTTATAACATATCTCTGGCACTCTAACTACAGCATTCACAGTACATGGTATCTAATTTTCAAGTAACTAAAAACTTTCACCAGAAAATGGAGAACTCTTACAGATTTTTTTGAACTCTTACAGAATCACTACTAACACTAAAAAAAAAAAAACTTTAAGCAATTCTCAAAAAAAATCTTTATATTTACTTTGCACTCGAAAAGTATGATTACCTCATGTTGGTAATGATGTAATGATAGTTAATGTAATGATAGTTAACTCTGATGTAATGATAGTTAACTCATTTTACCATGCTCTTAGTCTCTGATAAACCAAGCACTCTACATAGCTTTCATGTTTTTTAAACACATATATGTACATGTGTGTATCTATATATGCACATAAACACAATTTGCTTAGAAGGAAACATGTTGTAGTTTAATCCTAAACCACTTGACTTTTAAAGTAGTAAGTCAAGTTTGACAATGTAAGCATCAGTGCTATATGCTTTAAAAATAAATTACCCATCACAGTGATTATCTTCAGGCATAATATTACCACATTTCTTAGGTGCAAACTAAACTTACAACTGGCTCAAAGCAAGCCTCAGAGGTAGACCCCAGAGGGTAGAATGGCATAAATGTTTGGATAACCAATTAGCTGCAGTGCTGTATAAACAGCAGGACTAGGTGCAATTACATTGCTATTATATTGCTAACCAAAAAACAAAACCAAAAGCTCTACCTCTGAATAACAAGATTTTTTTTTTTAAATTGGAGACAATAATCCAGAACAAGAAGTAATTTTAATGACAGCAGGATTGGGATCATAAAATAGAAGAAAATTGTGTGGTGAAATGATTTCAAAGAACCTTGCTTTATTTTAATCGTCATGCTTGCGTATCAACGGGCATGGGCTATCACTTTTGAGCTGTGTATTCTACAAGTTTTCATTGCAGAATAAGAGATTTCAGTCTAGTTTTATCTTCAACACTTCAAACAAATTAGAGCCAAAATAATAATCTCCCCCAATACCCAAAGTTAGCCTGAAGAACAGCAGTAAAAACCCTACAGCATATTTGCTTTGTCCTAACATTCAGCACAAACAGCTGTAGCAAATTAAATCCTAACACCTCGGGTAGCCATTCTAAAAACTGTTGCTAGTTTACTGAGATTTCTAATGCCCAAAGTAATTTTCATGGGCTGTAGCTCTAAGTGCTTCCTTTTCCAGTCTGTTTTCACCACCAAAACACGGTATTCCTGGTACTGTTTATTATTAACTAACATATAAAAGAAATACTTATGCCCGTTTCTTGCAAGAAAATAAAAGCAAAGCCCTTTCTCATAATAAGTTTTTCATTATGCAGCTGGAAAGCACATAGGAGAGGGGGAGGGAGGGAGGGAGAGAGAGAGAGAGAGAGGACTTCCACATTCCCTTCAATGTTAAAAAAATAATTTTTAATTCAGTCGTCTTTAGTGTTTCAACATTTGATTACATAAGAATATTTAATTAATAAATTCATTAAGCATCAAGTATTAGACATGTTAAACAGCAGCTACAGCTCATAGCCTGGAGTTATTTCAGAAAGGCTTCCCTGCCACCCCCAGTACTACTGAAACAGAGAAACCCACATAGTTGAGCTTAGACCCCCTTATTAAGAACAAAATTTGTTTTTAAATATATAAAATGATTCAAATATTGTGAATTCCCATTTCTTGCACTATAGTATCAGAAAATTAAGTCTCCAGATAATAGTCAACACCTGAGGAACTAAAAGTTTTCTCCTTTTTACTTGATTAACATTAGCACTGGTTGCTCAGACAGCATAGTGTGTATTCATTCCCACAAGTGACAACAAAAGTGTAAATTACCATGTTTAGTATTTCCTTCCTTCAGTAAGATTAAGAAAGGCTGTGTATAATTCAACTCTGTGTAGGTGATACTTTTTGTTATTAGAAGGCGTTCAATAATATAGTAGAGGAAAAATTGCACGTTCTGTTTACTGTGGTTCAAGTAACAACCACTGCGGCTGTGATTTTTTTCAAAGGCTCTTAACCAACTTAAGTACTCAAATCCCACAAAAACTACCTGAGAGGTAGGCACCTACCATCCTCTAAAATTCTCACTTTCCCTCCCACTTCATTTGAAATCCTTGAGAAGGTTTACTGATGTTTAACAGTTTCCAAGGTTGGAGGTTTTGTATAAACCAGTGCTTACCAGTTAGCAAACTGAACATCCAAATGTTCACCTACTTAAGTAGCCATGTTTCCATACAAAGTGCACGCAGCTCAACTAATCTTGTAGTTACAAGAGTTAATAATCCTGATTCACAGAATCAAGATAACATTTTACTTCTTTCTGAAAAGGATGTACTTAACGTGTGACCTTCACAGCTGCATTCAGTACACAGAAGTGTCATTTAAACTGTACACACTTCAAATGTGCAACTATATTGATTCAACTTGTTCACACTCCTTCCTCTCCTGCTAGGAAAGCAGGATACAAAAGCTGTATTAACACAGATGTAACAGGGCATTGGGGTATGACCAAGCTACGTGTTCTGTCAACATATAAGTACAACTCTATAGTTCTTGGCATACAGCTAAAAAGGTCAGTGTTTAGGCACTCCTCATTAAAAAGTAATATTAAGAAGTTAAATATTTTTTTTTTTTGGGGGGGGGGTTGTTTTGTTTTTTTACATATTTAACAATGCTATTCTTGCATCCTTCCATATCTGACAGAAAATGCAACAAGTCTCTTGTATACTATCTCCAAGACTAAGAGAGAGAGTACAACTATTCCACAGATTAAGCTAAATGCCCAGCGTGGTCCCAGGTGAGTGTATATTTGGCTCACAAACACAGGCCCAAGTATGCGTGCTCCACTTCCAGAGGCCGTTAACCATCCCATATAGACACCCTACAGAAGATCAAAAGCTAGTATTAGTGATACAGGAATAATTTGGTCAGCTAATAATTCCTACCGGTCATCCTCATTAGAAAATTTCAAAATGTTTAAGTAATTTCTTATTTTTCTTAACTCCTGTTAAGATATGGAGTAGTTAGTTTTGAAGAGTACTGCTTGGTTTCTTTATTAGTTTGAACTGTACCATAGAAAACATGCTACTCACAGATGAAGACTCTACTGTGCTATACACTCTACAGCTTTCTAGTAAAAAGGCATTCTGGCTCAAAGTATTTAGTCTTTTACAGCAAAATACAGCAGATGGGAAAAAGGGGATAAGTGGAGGAAAAGGAATCAAGTTTCTCTCTCTGCTCACTATTTGTTTCACCACTGTAAAACATCAATAATTGGAGGTATCATAACAGAATTAAAAGCTGTCCACTTCCTACCTAAATTTAATTTCAATTAGCTTAAATAGATAGTTGCCTTCATTCATGTTTTTTTATATAGTACAGCTAGTAAGGAGAACATTCTTCTGATATTCCTAATATGTAATCCGTTGTTAAAAAAGTGACTGTCAAAACTCTCATAAAAATTCACAAGCTTCGGGCTTAGTTGTTCTGAAATTTTCATGCTATAAGATTTCCATAAATAGTAGTACAATCCTTGCTTTCTAATTTATCTAGGAACTTGTGCTGGACTTTAAAGCAGGTTAGAAATCCTGGAAACTTCTGCAATGATTGAACCGTGCTGTTGTGACAATTGCAATTTTGGCTAAATCCCTCGTCCTAATAAAGAGGCTACAAGTCTTGGGAAAAAAAAAGAAAACCTTTAGACTTCACACTTACCTGAGGCTTTGGGCCCAGAATTTTTGAGTATAAAGTATAGGACATGACATTACAAACTGGGTAGCCCAGTCCTATTAGTATGTCGGAGCTGATATACTGGGCTAGATAGATCATGGGAGTATTCAGGCACCAGGACTGCGAGACAGGGCAGCCTGTGGGTTCTGCTGTGCGATTGGATGGAAGCTGCATTGCTTGCAGACTCCAGAAAGGCATTAACATTGTCCTGGGAATGGAATTATTCTTTATTTCTGTAAAAGCAAGTAATGCACACCATTAAAAAATATAATGAAAAGCTTTCAATAAAACACTAAGACTAAAGTTTAGTATGAGTTGATTTATACCTTGCCATTGGATGTTTGGTAGTTTTTTCCCCCAAGGCAGTAAAATAAAGAATCCAACCAAGACAATCAGTAAGCCTCCATGGAGTATGGCACGCTCACCAGTCCTATCAAACAGTGAAATTGTAATTAAAGGTATCATTTACATCCATGATCACGTAGATGTTTAATATTTAAAAAAATGCTATGCACAAAACAAAATATTTCATACTATATTCATGTCTCTAAACTAAAACTCAAATAAAGCTGTTGAAGTATGACAAGTAAAATCTGCAAGATGCCATCCACACTGTAGCCTGTTCGTTTGTGGAAAAGCTGCCTGACCAAAACACCTGCAACAAAAATAGCTTCTAGGGTCAACACAGTAAAAGCAGCAGCATTACACTAACTTAAACTTGTTTTTCTTGGGATACAAGGGTAGAACACAGATGAGGGAGAGGGTTATGCTACAAGGCTAGAGAACAACTACAGCATCACAGCAACATGAAAACCAGAAGCACTTTGTTGTCATAAGATACCCAAATTTCTTGACTAGTAAAAGTCTTAGATAATGCAGATTTGGCCTTGTTATAAGTGTTTTCAGACTTAGCTAATATAAGTAATAAAATTCTGATAAACTCAAAAAACTTACTTTTTAGAAAGTGTTTTAACCACCATGAAAACAATAACTGATTCAACACCAACCACACCAAGGATTATTCCATTATATAAAACAGCTTCTTTCCTGGTCCAGGAATACATATCCATTGTCAATGGAGTAGCTATACTAAATTGACAAAACAAAATGACATTAATTAAAAAAAGCTACTTCTCTACAGCAGCTTCCACACATTTATTATCCCAAACATCAGAGAGAGTGGTATAGGAGCCTTCTCTCTGAAGGAGACAGTAAAAAAAACACAGGCTAGTTATAAACTAATTCTGTCACCATCATTTATTAAAAACAAGTCCTCTGATTTCACAGCTGCATTCTGACAGAGATACTCTGAAACACTGTTAATATATTTCAGATAGTTTATGAAAAAATGATGCTGTAAGAGCAAAGCAAGAGTAATGGAGAGGAAAAATCAGGTCCTGAGAGAAAAAAATATATATATACATTTAATGCTGATCAAGCTTTAGCAACCTACCAGCAGTTACTAGCAATGGAATTTTCTAAAAATAATGCAAATAAGACAAAGAAGTGCTGTTATAAGAAACGTCAGCTAGGCTGGAACTCAAAATCTTAGAAAATAGAATGCATATCTTCCAAGTGTTTTATACGTTCTAAAAATGAACTTCGGTGACATAACAGTTATTATGTTTTACTTATTTTAATGTAGATGTACAAAATTTAAATGTACCAAATTTTAGGTTGGATAACTTACCTCTTCACATTAAGAAACAATCATACAGAATAGTATACTTAAGAATACAATGCATTAACTGTATCAAACCGTTGTTTTAATCATTACTGAAATACGAGCTCCATTGCAATTTTTGGAGATGGTATATTATAATAGGTAGTATTGAGCAAGGTACTCAACTGAAGACCCAATTTTCTCTGAAAATACTAGGTAGCCCAAATTAAGCTACCTCAACTGAACATGAAGGTTTTTTAAATAGTTAAGAAGTTCACAATATGGTTTGGCATCCATTCAAAAGCTTTGAAACATTTACGCTAATGTTCCATACACCACAAATTGCATGTTATATATTTGTAGTTACTATGAGCGTTAATTCTTTATTCTGTATCACTATACAATCATTTAACTGCATACGGTTTTGGACTTACAAATACTGCTGTTTATGAAGAATATCATTAAGATAATGAGTGCAACAGAAAAGCCTTTATATGCACAGAGTTATCTACACCTCAAAGCACTCCGAGAGGAAAAAAAGAGAAACTTACGTTTCAAAGACAGCAAAAACGAACAAGATGACAAAGAAAAGAAAATTGACTGCTACAACAGCAACCTGGTCAATGTTTCCTTCTGCATCCTGATCCAAAACACCGCTTTCTGCAACGAACCAAAAGAATCATCTAATCTACAAATTAAGCTGTCTTACAACACGACAAACAGTTACAGACAGCTACAAACAGTTGATTTCTTTATTCTGCGTAGCACAGAGTTTGGTGCATGTTTAGGCAGTTATATTTTGACAGTCTAACTAAAACTTTACATTTTTAAAATCAAAACTGAATTGCTGAAGCTCCAATTCCTCTGTTTTCCGGTTTCTAGTGGCCCTGACTATGACAGAAAATGATTTCTAACCTGGTTATGCCTTCTGTTGTTCCACTGTTAACGCTGGGAATAGCAAGTCCCGGGCAACAGTCAAATAAGCAAACTGCTCTAAATGTCTTTACAGTTGAAATCAAAGCATTTGGCGTTTCTCTTCCAAAGCTGAAGGTGCACAAAGCTAAAATTCCTGATATTACAATGGAGGTTTTGTTCCTCTAACCTAGGCATAGCATCTTCATACATGAAGCACCCATGTGCTGTGTGCACATGCAGTCTTATGAGGGATCTGTATGCAGAAAACACACGCAGGATTTGGTGAGAGAGATGTTTTGCATGTCGAGAGGGAGGGGGAGTAGAGGCCAAACTTGTTCTCCCATCATTCAGATATTGTGGCTACTGCCAGTCAAGCCAGACTATCATATTTCCTAGGAAATCATCGTTAGTTGGCATTCACCTGCTTGCATAAGCTATTCATTGAATAAACACTCTATATTTCATGATTTTTTGATGCATCTGTCACACAAAACTTAAGTGTAGTGATTACAAAGAAAGCTTTAAAAATATTATTTCTTTACAACAAATTTCAAAGCTTTTGTTAAATATAATAAAAAGTATTTTCAAATTATTTATGCTGCTCTCTTTTTAAACACAAAACTAACACAGCACCGAATCTAGAGACTTCCATGGGTTTTCAGAGAGCTTTAACATTATCTTCCATACATTTCAGAAATGCACAACATTTGAAGAAATTTGATCCATGCCTAATACGGTATGAAAAAGAGGCTGTATGTGGTAACTACCATACTTTAGTCTCTCAACAACTGAACTTATTTATACAGCTCAAACCTTTTTTAATAAAACACTGCGAGTAAAAGCTCGTATGTAGTAACAGTGTTGCACAGAACGCTACAAAACAAAAGAGAAATACGACTGCAGAGCAGAAGTGAGGAAGAGTTTTCTTGATGTCCATGTCCACTTAATACTGTGTCTTGGAAGAGACACTTACAAGGTGAAAATTTGAAAGAATTTGTACAATTTTTTTGTGTTTTTGCCACAAGACAGCAATCACGTTGACCAACGTGGACATGAAACGATTTCTGGACCAGTTACCTAGAAAGAGATGTAGCCCCCTTTCCACTTTGAGTTCCCAGTCTGTCAGACTTCGTAACGCTTGTAAATGCTTGTATGTAATAAGAAAATATGCTAGAATTATCACAGAATAAGTTTTCAAGGAAACACAGATACCTTCGCCTTCAAAATTGATACTTCTGCATTGCCGTCCCATGTCATCCACTCGATGCTCTCTAGAAATTTAGAAGTGTTTTCATTAATAGATACAGTTATTTGATCTACTATTGGATCAAGTTTCTATTAAAATATTTCTTCCTGTCACTATCTTATATTCTAATTACTCCCAGCGCCTTTAAACATAATCTGTATACTCTAGATTCAACCACAATGAACAGCAGCATACTCTAGAAAGGACATATTCTGGTGGGAGAATATTACATCTCTGTGTGCAGTCTTCCCCCTCCCCTCACTGCAACCAATAGGATAATGCCATACATAAAAACCCTCTCTCAAGAGCTCAGATTCTTAAAAGAAACACACAGACACTTAGAACACTGTAGGCAAGCTAACCTTATTTGTCTTTAGAGAAAATACATGGGCCATCAACGTTAAAAATGTATCAAGGCTAAGCTTATGATCTAATAGGTCTAACTTTTTGCTGTCATAATTTTTTCATATTCTAGCCATAATATCACGATGATTAATTTACTAGCACGATGAAAAAAATCTGTATTGCAGAAGGGAGGAACTCTGAAAAATAAATTAGAAAAATAAAGGCTTATAGTCTTAGCACTTCAGATTTCAAGCTTTTTAATCCTCCTTCTGAGTACCTTTACAATTCCCACAAGCCATCCACTAAAACAAAGTAAAGTATTTGTCTTTTTTGACTTGGTTACCTGAATATAGCAAAGATGAGAATGATATTAATAACTCCTAAGAGAGCTCCAAACAGAACTGGTGCTGTATACATGGTTAGCTGAAGATGAACTAATTCCCACGTTACTCCTTCTTCTCCAATAAGCGTAAAACAAGTCTGAAAAACTTAGAACAGATTACGCATATTAAGAAAATCTTAAGAATCACTAAGAAAATATTAGAACACATATAGAAGAAATATATAGAATGTATAGAGATAGATAAGCAAAGTTGTTCTAATTGTTAAGTAAAATTTAAATATTACTTGTGTCAAACCTTTTTTATTTTGAGAAATCTGCTCTAAATAACTGATGGATACTGATGGGACTTCAGCTAGCCAGAAAACTACTTGATTACATATAAATATACTGTATACGTAAGAGTGTAACATAAGAGTGTAACACATAAGAGAACTGGAACTGAATTCTGAGTGTACCAATGGTTAATTTTCTTGGCCATGTGCAGACAGCTGATTTACTCTTTTTACTCTTACTTCTGTATGGAAAACCTTCGTCCTGGGACCGGAGTATCCCTCTTACTAAGGGCAAGCTAGAGAAACGAGAAGTAATTTTTTAAAACTTAATGTTTAAATTGGCACTGAGTAAGAGAACGTTAAGACCAGTCCTTTACTTACTATTGTTAAGAAACAGAATGAAAGTCCATAATGAATTAGGAGAGAGATTTAGCTATGCTATGGAAATCACCCACAGAACGCAGATTGCTTGTTGCTGTAGACCCTTTAATGCTTCTTCAGAGCTCAGTGATAATCAAATAGAGAAAAAACTTTCAGCACTAAACAATCTCCTTATTGCATCACTAGACACAGAACACTGTAGCTCTGCTAGTTGGGTAATCTTTATCTTCAGCTACAGGAGACTGTGATCCAGCAGAGGTTGCTTAGGAAAACATTGCTGGTCTAATACAAGCCAGGATTTACTCATATTCCCCATGAGGGGGATAGGACATCTCACGAGTCACTGTTACCCCTCACCCAACAAACACCCCTTGAGCTCTTCCTTCCTTTAGCTCTCTGTAATACCTGTTAGTGTCTTAAAGTTATTGCCAATATAAAGATTTTGATAGAAACTACAAGATCAGAAAGTTCTGTTGGATGTTGGATTTTCTACACCAAATAAGCAAGGTGAAATTTACAGTCATTTCTGAAGGTAATGCTTGCCTGAACACAATAATATCAAATTCTCTTCTCCATGAACAAAGTGCAATTGGTCATAGACTGCATAGTGGGTAATGGTACAACAGAGCATCTTGGAAACTGTTTCTCTGCAGTCTACTAATTTAACAATGAAAACAGTAATCCAAACCAGCTAGTTTGGAATTACAAACAATTAGCGTTTCTTTGGAATAGAATATTTTGTTTATATTGGCATAGATACACGAATGGATCCCATTTATTTGTGAACTAATCTTAATATCACTGACGAACTACGCTTTAACACCTTGCCCCCGTACTGCTGCTGAGAATTCCTAGCTCCAATGTCTGATTTCCTGCTAAAGAGGGTTAGATAAAAACTCATTTTGTGTAAGTGAGGAGACAAGATACGCTCTACCTGGTCCTAATATGAAGCCAACTGCTTGGCAAGCACTGGTATTGGCCATAGCACTCGTTCTTTCTGCAAGAGAAGTGGCGCCTGCAATATATGATCGAACCACAGCTACGTTTCCTTAAAAAACAAAAACAAGGAAGCGTTCATATAGATATGAAGTTCTATTTCTTAGAATTCTCCATTTACGTTTATTTTTTTTCTTATTTCCCAAGAAAATACAATCCAGCACTCCCTGCAGTATTCATACACAACTGCATAATTACACACATTTATAAACTAGCATTGGCTAACTCTTTGCTTTGTTCATTTGTAAGGTATCATGCACGAGATGTTTTAGTACCAGATTTACCGTTATATTAGCGACCTTACACAAGACATATAGTTTAATAAATTTCAGAAATGTGAACTCTGCTGTGGTTACCTGCTCCAAATCCCACAAGAGCACGTGCAATCAGCATGTAGTATTTGTTGTGTGAATGAGGTACATGGACATAGGCATAAAGACAATTAGCAGCTACTGAAATAATCGTTGAAACGACAAGAGGTTCTCTCCTTGGCCTGTAATTGGACCAGAAACCAAACAAGGGAGAGGCGACCATTTGGCCAATGCTATATGAAGCTATAATCCAGCCCAAGAAACTCGCATCTGCTGTTGGATCAATCTGCAGAAACAAATTAATTCTGTGAATACTGTATTACAGCTTTTTATAATATCAACAAAATCATTTCAGAATCAGCACCGGAAATGCCTAAGGCTCTGAATAGTATTTTTGAGGGTATGTGGCACTACGCAATGCAGCGTCAGTCCTAAACTCTCTCTTAGCAAGTTAGTGTGTCTGCACGGGTCTCAGGAGCAGCTGCTCCTCCTAACGTGGGCCAATAAACCCTGACTATTGTCTCAGGCAACGCACCAAACTGATAAAACTACTTCGCTTCTGAGTCTGGAGATGGTTGATTTGCAGCAAATTCAAGTATTTCTAACACAACACTGCTAAAGATATGGACTTACGGACTTAAAACATCAGCAGTACCGTAATACACCTTACCGACCAGGGGCAAGGAATCACTAAGTCATGTGCATGTCTAAATCTGGCCTGATTTACAAGGCTGACAATGTACTTCCTTTTTTTTCTTCAAGAGTTCAGCACCAGCCTCAGTTTTAACAATATTTCTAGTGCCCTACCTAGAATATGTTGCTCTCAATCTGTATCTGGAAATCCCTTCTATAATTCCTGGAGCAGGAAAATCCTAGCACAGATTAAATAGAAGTTTTAGAGATCTTTTATGCCACTTTTGACAAGAAAGCAACAAAAAAAGCCCAACCATCTGGGAACACAAGCAATTCTCCATTGCAAATACCAAGACTATGGTAAGAATCTCTGACACTTACAGAGTATTATCTTCAGCTTCCTTTTCCTTTTTTTCAAAACGCAAACAAGCCCTGTGTAGTAAGTTTTAATGACAGAAATGCCTTCAGATAAAAAGATTTCTATTAATTTATTGTTCAAGCGAAACAGTGAAATAATATTGGAAAACTAAACATTTCAGGATTATGATGTACCTTTACCAATTCAGTACACCAACTGACAGATTTTACACAAAATATTAAAAGCTGCCAAAGTAGACTACAAAAGAAAAGTTGCAATATAAACACACACTTCCCCTTACTGCTCTTCTTCCTTAATAAAACACGAGGTTTCATACTACACACATCCTGAGCAGGAGTTTTCTGTTGTTATTAATAAAAAGTGTATTAATATTTACAAACCTTTTGGAGATACGGCCATACAGACATAACTACAATCGAGAAACCTGTGATGCAGGAAGAAACAGAACTGAAGTTATTCCACCTTACTTGCCACATTTATCAGTATTCAGTTGTTGAAACAAAAAAACTCTTATGAAAAGAATATTGATACTCTGACCAAACTGCGTGCAATTTTTCCTCTAACCCTTCCAACGGAAATACAAGCTCCCCAGAATAAAAAGAATTTTTTCAAATACAGATATATTTGTACCCATTTATCAAATAAATTTCGATTTTAATTCATCAAATTAAAAAAAAATCACTCTAGAATCCTATGATTCTCGAGATTATTTCTAGAACCACAGAAAAATCAACAAAAGTCAAAATCAACAGAATTCTCACTTCAGGGAGCAGTTCTATAGGGCTGAAACAGCAATTTACTCTGCAGTGAAAATGCAAAATCCCACAAGAAAAGAAAAACGGCTCCTATACACATTTTGAAATAAATACCATACATTCGTACAAAGATCCTACCTCTTAACAATGAGGCATTATTACTCTCTCTTTTCATTCCCTAGAAGTTGAACTTTGGTTGAAAAAACTGTGACTTTTGTTTTGCTTGGTTCTGACTCATAATCTTTCTCTGCTACTACATTCTCCACCAAACTATTACAAAGCCATAAAATAAAGATCTACTTAATATGTCACTCCTTCTCAAAACAGAGTATTACTTAACACGTTTTATTAAATTTAACTTTGCTTGATTGTTAGCCATCTCAACACTCAAAAACCGCACCTTTTAAAGGCTATAAAAGAACAATAACTACATTAAAGAAGGTAAATCAGTTGAAGTCTAGAAAATGCTGTAATTTTCACATCAAGATAAGCTAAGCAAATAATATTGAAATCCAGCTGTGTTTACTCACCTACACTACTGAGAAACATAGTAAGATGCATAATCCAGATGGACCTCCATCTACTCTTATAATGCTCTTGTGTTTCCAAAACATCCCTGCTTTTGAACCAAAAGGCAAGAGAGAGAGAAATCATTGTAGAGATTCTCCTTTAGTTGTTCTTATCCCAGGATACTGAAAATATTTTTCACAAATATCTCAGTATAATTGTGTATTCTCATACAGGATTGCACATTTATACAGCGAGGAATAAATCAAATGGAAAACTGCACTTCTACACTTACTGCAGCTTTATTTTAGAAGCAAATTACCAAACATCAGTGAGAACGAACATAAATGCCATCATGTACCATTGTGTTCAATGTGTAGGTTATACAAAGAAATTTTTATCTAGAGAGAACTTCTGTCCTGCAGGGTCTTTGAGCAGACACTTTGCAGCATCACAGATTTCATGTAAAGGCTTCGAGAAGTGTGAATTAAATCATACAGCTCCAAAGATCTTCTCACAGCACTGTGACTTCAGAGTGAAAAATAAAACTTGAACAACTATTGATTAGATTAAAATGTATGACCAGTCTTTTATTTCCAAGAGGAAGTAACTACAGAAAATAAGAAACATGTATAACTTGCTACAGGTGCTAAGCCTTAAAAAGATTAAATAATTACAAATTCATAAACATTAAGTTATTTTTCTAAAACATGTAAGCATCTTTTGAGTCCTATTTACTTTTTCAAGAGCATTTCAAGTTTCTTCATGTCTTCTGTGTTGAACTGTTCTAACTATTCTAAACAAAATATCTCTGAAATATGCAGACCTAGTTTATATATGCCTGAACATAGTTTATAACAATACTTTATATAGCCTATACGTATACAAATGCACACACACAATTTTAAAACCACTATAGCTATTCCAGAGTGTGATTTGTACATTTGTTTCTTCATAAATGTTTATACCATCGAAGTGTCTTGGTTGGACGAAACTCTAAATTCCTAAGCGCTCTTTCTAAATGGACTTCTTGCCCATCACACGCTGAAACAAGCCACAGTCAAACTCTATGTACAATGGCAAAACCGTGCATATGCTATGAGGCTTGGCTGCTTTAAAGATTTTGGTTAAATGATGTAGTACACTTCAAGGGTAACAATACTTCAACAAAGATGGAAGCAGTAGTTACTCAAACGTATTCAAGACCTTTTCTTCTTCTGAGAGAAGGAAAAAATAGGCGACTAATTCCTGTGCACACAAAAAACTTCGTATTAAAAAGTTAGATTACACGACTACAAGAGTTGTTTTGATGGGATGCGCAGTATGTCTTTTGGGAACTTTGCAGGTGAATGTTTTCTCCAGAGCGAACTCGGCCCTCACCAGCTCAGCACAGCCTGCCACCACCAGCCTCCCATCCCCAAGCCAGGGCCGAGGCGGGCTGAAGAAACCCTGCCGGTTTGAGACCCCGAAAAGACAGAGCGGGCGTGAGAGATCACACCTACAATCAAAATTATGAAAGCACTGGGGGTAAGCCGCTCGGTCTGTTCCCCCTTCGCTGGCCTCGGAGCCTAGCAGCTTTGCTAAAGCTTAGGCTGTCCTTGCGGAGCAAAGCGCCCACGCACGGGGCAGAGGGAAGCCTCGCCCACGGGCGGCTCCACGCGTGACTCAGTGGGGTGTCACACGGCGTCCCCGCTCCGGGACGACCCAGCCGCCAGCCCACCGCAGGCGCCGGCAGAAAGGGCAGATGCCCACC